CCGGGCTGGGGATTTGAACCCGCCACCTTAGGTGTATGTGGCTGGCGCCTTAGCCGCTTGAGCCACAGGCGCCGAGCCTCAAAAACATTTTCACATCGAGAAAGCAAATTTGCGTTAGAGTGGAGGTTGATTTTGATACTGGGGTTTTGATACCATGATTAGTAAACTCTCCTTTGGAAATGAAATTCTACTGAAATGAGGGATTTTCCAAAATAATACAACTCCTTCTATAATAAAATAATGATGATAGTTAAAATTTATTGCTGCTCACCATGTGCCAGGCACTAAGTGTTTTACTCATTTAATCTTCATGACAATCCTTTGACATAGATTCTATTATTATCCCCATTTTACAGATGAGGCAATAGAGTCACAGAGAAGTTAGATAAGTTGCCTGGATTCACACAACCAGTAAGGGGTAGAACTAGTCAGTTATACTAGAAGTCACAGAATAAAGGGCATTTCAGAAAAGCTGACACGTGAGCTGGCTAACCCCAACCTCTAACACTGGATGAGCACTATATATGCAGGGTATGGTTATCGTTTGCTTGTCTTCTTAGCACTGAACACAGAACGGGGGAAATGGTAGGACTAAAGTAAATGTTTATTGAGGGAATAAAGGAGAGTCATTTGCTACCAAAAAGGCATTTTTTTCCAGCCATGGTTTATCACATTAGCACATCATATACTCTAAGGAAATGTCCTAGTTATTTAATAAATAACTTCTATCATAAATTTTATCTAAACATCAGTGGGAAGAGAGGTGCATAAACGACAATAGAGGTTGTGAGTGTAACATGTTCCTATCCTGGTGGGCACTCAAGGACTCGCTCTCTATTCAGTGTGACATACTGACCTGTCCCCCACAGAATGTGAGGGGGAAATAACCCTACAACCCACTACAACAAAAAACAGATATGGGCCAGAGTGAAACAAGAGGGTCCTCAAACAGGGATGAAATTTAAAAAACAAAATAAACGTGAGTTACCAGGTAATAGGAAAACTGTGGAGAAAGGCAGGGTCCACCCAGGTAATGTATAAAAGACGCAAAGAAAGGGGTGAGACCCACAAGGCTACTGTCCATTCCCCCCCAGCACTCTCTCCCCACCCGGTGCCTGATGAGCAGTTTCCAAAGTCCTGACATGATACTAAAGGGCTTCTGACTGGTGTTCCTCCTGCCTGGTAACCACCCCAAGCCCTGGCACCTGACTGACAACAGATCTTTTTCTGAACCACAGAAACAGAGATTTACGGAGTTAGAAGAAGGCAGAGAGAACTCAGCCCCTGCCACTAATCCTGCTGCCACTGCTGTGACAATGCAACCAAAGACGACGAAGCACAACAGTGACGTGCAAGAGAGGTAGAAAGAGAAAGCTGAAGGGAGAACAAGAAGGAACCAAGTCTAGAAAAAGGTACCAAAAAGGCCAAAAGCATCCTTCATTTGTAGATGAAGAAGACAATGAACATAATTAAATCCCATCTGGTTCACTGTTCATGCCCACGCTTCCTTAACAAGGCAATAGACTATCCTCCATCTTATGAATTAACCTGCAATCAGTAGAGAATGGAAGAGAAAGAACAAAACGCAGCCATTCTCCATGCTAAGACAAGTACCATCAAGGTTTCCTCACACAGCACGAGACTGAGGTCCAATGCAGTGAACCCTGAGCAAGCAAAGCTTCGGGATTTCTTTCAGTTAAGGAGATGGAGGATGACGACTCAATTGCACGCTTACGTTAGGCTGACCACTAGTTGGCTACATCCACAGGGTTCAAAATCGATGCCACAGTCCCTCATTAATTCCCTCTGGAGAAGAAACCTGGCCACCATAAACTAGGATTGGTTGATTCAGACTAATGCTCATATAAAATTTACACAAAAATCAATCTAATATAAATAAATGCCTTAGCCTAAGAATAAATATGAACAGAGACTAGAATTGCAAAGAACTATATGTTTATCTGTTAAAATTCTGTAAATTCTATTTCAAAATGAAAAGGATTATTAAGCTTGTCATGAGCAGTCATTCTGGGGTAACTTTTTTCTGCTTAAAAAAGTAATATATGCTAACGGCAGAAATTTGGAAAATCTAATGAACAGATCAGTCATAATTCTTCCACAGTGAATATTTATTCCTTATAAGAGAAAAACCTCTCCAAATGAGATTTTTCAGGCAGTAATAAATTTTAAGCATAACACAAGGAAAGTATTGCAAGAAAACAATTATGGGCTTGACGCCAGTAGCTCAGTGGTTAGGGTGCTGGCCATATACACTGGGGCTGGCAGGTTCAAATCCAGCCCAGTCCTGCTAAACAACGATGACAACTACAACAAAAAAATAATCAAGTGTTATGGCAGATGCCTATAGTTCCAGCTACTTGGGAGTTTGAGGCAAGAGAATCGCTTAAGGCCAAGAATTTGAGGTTGCTATGAGCTGTGATACCACAGCACTCTACCCAGGGCAACCTAGTGAAACTCTGTCTCAAAAAAAAAAAAAGAAAAAAGAAAACAATTATGTCTAGAGCTCCAAATTGTTGATCTTAATAGAGTTCTTACAATTTTTCTTCTGCTTATCCAAACCCATAGACTTTGCTACTAGCCAAGAAGTTTGTTTGTGTTTAGAGAACAAACTATTCTGCTGGGCATAGTAGCTCACACCTGTAATCCTAGCACTCTGGGAGGCTGGGTGGATTGTTTGAGCTCAGGAATTCAAGACCAGCTTGAGCAAGAGCAAGACCCTGTCTCTAAAAGCAGCTGGGCGTTGTGGCGGGCACCTGTTGTGGCAGCTACTCCAGAGGCTAAGGCAAGATGATCGCTTGAGCCCAAGAGTTTGAGGTTGCTGTTTTGCTGTCTCAAAAAAAAGAAAAGAAAAGAATTCAACTGCCCTTGGTGTAAGAACATATGTGAAGCAAGCAACAGAACCACTCACCAAGTTTGTAGCAATCTCCAGGGCTTCCAGGTGCCTTCCCAGGTGAGCCAGACACCGAGCTTGGCTTTCCTGAACATCTCTTCTCATTGCAAAATTAGTAGATGACAACTTTTCAGAGATACTGGAATACTCCTGCAGCGCTTTCTGGACAATATTTATTAATAAAAGAAATGAAGGGAAGAAAAGAAAGGTGGAATAGAATAGAAAAAAGTATTCAGTATAAGGATGATTTTTTTCCTAAGTAGAAGGTAATGTTCTAATTTACCCCACAATGAACTAAAGACTTCGGTATTCTAGACAGTCTTATTTTCCTTTAAGGTAGAGGAGGAGTAGCTGGAGAACGTGACCACTACCACCATGGAAGGCATCGTGGCATAACAGAAACACTCTGGAGTCAAATTTGAACTATTTGAATTCCAGTTTTGCCACTAACTTGCTGTATAATCTTTTCATCAGCAAATTAACAAGAGGATTCCATAACACCAGGATTTCTCATGAAGATGAAATGAGATCTATACATATGCATGTCATTTTATATATTAAATAAAAGGATGTCCAACCTTTTTTAATTTTTTGGTGTTGCACATTGGAAGAATAAAAGTTGCCTTGGGCCATGCATTAAATACCCAAACACTAATGAAAGCTTATTAGCAAAAAAGAACAAAAAGGTCCACAAATACTTTTCATATCTGACACCACAGATAAGCAAAAAAAGTCCTTACAAAATCAGCATGCAGCCCACAGGCCACAGGTTGGATACCCTGGAAAAAAACCCAACATCTAATTGTTAGCTTCTCCCTTTTCTTACACATTCTGGGATATTTTGCTCCAGAGGCACCATAAGATATCTGTGCTTGGCTCGGAGCCATAGCTCAGTGGTTCAGGCGCCGGTCATGTACACCAAGACAGGCAGGTTCGAACCGGCCTGGGCCTACTAAACAACAATGACTGCAACAATAACAAAAATAGCCAGGTGTTGTGGCAGGCACCTGTAGTCCCAGCTACTTGGGAGAATCGCTTAAGCCCAAGAGTTAGAGGTTGCTGGGAGCTGTGACACCACGGCACTCTACCGAGGGTGACATAATGAGACTCTGTCTAAAAAAAAAAAAAAAGGGTATGTGGTTTCCACTTCATGAGATTCAGAACTGGACCTACAAGAACCTAAGAAAGATCCTTCTGTTGGAGTTAGAGGAAACAAAACCAATTATACAGAAAAGGATCGAATCTTGGGAGTCTAAGATTATAAATACACATTATAAAAGATTAAATTCATCTTTAAAAGCAACATACTCATAACTTTGTATACTGTTAATTTACACACAAAGGCTGTTTGGAAAGTATCGGCCCTGTAGTATGAAAAACGTATTAACAATGACTGGATACTTTCCAGACAACCTTCATATGCTACAATGGATAAAACAAGAGCTCACTCCCAGTACCACAGCCACTGTGCTGGATTCTACCTGATACTCTCGTCGTCTATAGGCCAGGTCCCCTTTGAACTTCTTGATGGTCAGCACTTCAACATCATCACTGCTTTCTGTCTCTTCATAAAACCACTACAAATCATGAAAAGAGCACATTACAGAGGGCAGCTCCAAGTCATACTCAGAAGCAGGATATAATTTCTCATAATATAAATGCTTAAACATCAAAAAAGACATACTTCTTCAGGATCAGACTCAGAGGAAATATATTTGACAAGAAAGAATGACAGTTTTAATGAGGGTCCAGTTTTTATGATCACACGTAATAAACATGGCAATAATATGATATCCCTCTTAAAAAGTAATATACAAGTATGAGCTTATCTACAGCATTTTCAATACAGGGTTGTGGTGCCTGAGAATCTACATTTATCCAGTACACTTTACATTAATTCTTCAAAATGAGGTATCTTTTTTTTTTATATAGAATTTCATTTTGTGACCTTCAGTAGAGTGCTGTAGCGTCATAGCTAACAGGAACTTCCAACTCTCCAGCTCAAGCAATTCTCTCACCTCAACCTCCCAAGTAGCTGGGACTACAGGCACCTGCCACAACGCCCAGCTATTTTTAGAGATGGGTTCTCACTCTTGCTTAAGCTGGTCTCACACAGGGCAATCTACCCACCTCAGCCTCCCAGACTGGCAGGAAGGTATCTTTTCTTATACAGAAATTTTAAAGTGAATGAAATAGGGATTGACCACTCTTTATGGAAAGGACATACGAAAGAAGAATTATAATTATGGTACCACTATGAAAATGCCATAAAGGGAAAAAAGTAGAATCCAAACAAAGGAAAACAAAAATTAAGGCTGAAGGGGGGGCTTCCACACAATGAATCTAAGACTTGCAGGAGAGAAGTGGACATGCCCAGATGGGATGCTTTATTTGCTTTTCTACTAATTTAAATCCTATGGGTAGAAAGGAAGGTGAGACTGAGGTTTCTTGACTATTGAATAAAGAACACAGGTATGAGGAAACACACACCGTATGTGTTTTCTACCTACAAAATCAGTATCTCATATATGGTAACACACTGAAGCTGAATAAAGTATATCCCCAGTTAGATACTAGTAATTCAAGCATAAATAGGTTTGTGATTGTCCCACAAGTACATCAAAATGCTTGGTTCTATATTGCAGAGCCTCAGAGTATCAGTGCCCCCTGTTATCATAGTAAAAGTAGTTTCTCCCCTTAGCCTGGTGCATCATAGGAGAAAGCTGGGGATGGACCACTGTCTCTCTGTGCTCCTTTGTGCATTAAAAACAACAGCCTATGCACTTACCCTCTAATTTTCCCTTGTACTTTACTGCTATCTAGTCACATACTGTTTAGAAGAGCCAATCCTAACTTCTTGAACAGCAACTGTATATCTATAAACCTCAATCACATCTTCACTATCATACTGGCTTTCAATTACTTTTCTTCTCCCGCATAACCCACAGGGCTGCAGGGGTGCAAGAACTCAGGGGATGTCTTCAAATACCCACTCCCATAAGAGGAAGGAGGGAAGAGCTGTGAGCAAGAGTGGGGACTACAACTGGAAGCTCACAGGAGCAGTCAGGGACAACAGAAATCTTCTAACTCAAATTCCTAGTTTTGGGGAACCAACATGACTTGAATATGGTCTCTTCACATTCACATAGCAAATAAATTCATAAGTCAAGTGGTTTATAGATTTTACTTTTAAATATACAGCACAGAACATCTGGTATTTTCATACACAGTATCTTGTTTCACTCTCCCAATAACCCTGTAAGCCAGCAAATATCATTTTATTTCAAATGACAAAAAGGATCTGACACTTTGAAAGGCAAGTTGGTAAAGCCCACACTGAAATTCAAGAGTCCTATAACCAGAGCTTTTTTATTCCCCAACACATGACTTCCCAGGGCCATGCATGTCCTGGTGTTGGTCTACATGATGGAGCACTGAAGGTAATCGAAAGCCTGCCAAGTGGCAGGGAGAAAACGTAACCAAAATAAAACAATACAATTCAGTAACTAGAGAATGCCCAGAGCCTGTAAGCACAATTGTGAGGAAATGAGACAAAACATTTAAGGAAACCCACCCAAGTGCCAGGAATACTTCAGTTTTCCATAAATACCAGTTATGATTGGTGAGAGATTTATTTTACACCCAATGCAATACAAAGAATACTAATTCAAGAATAAGTATGAAGTTCCTATTATAAACAAAAACTGTCAGGTACTGCAGAGGACACCAAGAACTCACTCTTGTGCGACACTTCAGCGCTCTGCTGCTGAGGACCCGATTTGAACGCTGACATGGACTTTAAAACAGCCTAAAGGCGGGGAGCGGGGGTGGACAGCGCCAGAAACATTCGGTCGGGAGAGACAATCGGAAAAGACTTCCTGGAGGAGGCGGCACTTAAGACGTGCCTCGATAAAGGATAAGTGAACGACTCCGACCCTCAGACGGGGTTCGCGTGGGCGGGGAAGGGGGTTCCCCGGAGAGGGGCAGGCCAATCTGCGGGCCGTCCCCACCTGGCGCGCAGACACTACGGTTTCGGAAGGGGGCCGTGGTCGCATTTCCCAGGGCCCGGGCTGCCCGGAGCAGGATCAGCGACGGGAAACGGGAGTCGCGGGAGAGTTCAGGGCGGGGCAGGGGGCCCGCGAGCAGCGGCCAGGCCCACCCGCCGGGGCGAATCCGACAAGGGGTGGTTCTCGCGCGCGGACGCAGGACGGGGCCGGGAACGCCGCCGCCTCCGCGGAGAAGAAGGGAAGAGCGGGCAGGTCGGAGCCGGGGGGCGGCAGGTGTCCGAACCAGCCAGAGGCTGGGGCGTCTGAGGCGCTGAAAGTGCGGGACTCTCACCTGCGGCTCGCAGCGCTTGGCGCAGTAGGACGCAGGCGGCCCAGAACGCCGCTCGGGCCGCTCCTCGAATACCGAGTCCTCGAACTCGCCACCGAACCAGCACCCACTCTCCATGGTGCGCCCTGGAAACGCGCGGAGGCTGGGCCTAGAGCGGCGCCCACCTCCCGGCCCCGGAAGGGGCGGGGCCGCCGGGACTCGGGCGCGGCATGCTGGGACTTGTAGTCTTTGCAAAGGTCGCGCTGGGTCGTGGCCAGGGGCGGTTGGGGGGCGTGGTTGAGCTGAGATTTCTGACTCCGCTGATCCAACTCCAGGTCAGAGGGTTTGACTTCTCCGTCTCAGATGAACAGAGCGATCCTTAGCTGAACTTGTCAGAAAGCGTTGGCCCAGGGTAGCCGTTTAAAACTCACAAGTATCATTTTTTAGCTACTGTGCATTCCTGGCACTATGTCAAGCCCTCTTTTTGTGCTTTCTGCTTTCATCTAACAACCACCCTGTGAAAGACACGGTGATTCCCGTTTTGCAAGTAAAGATACATATTGCAGTTTGGGGAGGTTAAATAACTATTGCTCAGAATTAGTTATCACGTGGCTAAGAGCTAAAAATTACGGAAATGAGTCAGTATTCCTCATGTCTCCCACCACCACTAAGAAGACCAAAGTCAGTCACTCATTCACGCATTTGTAAAAGAGACGACAGACATTTACCAGGATGGGAGTGGAGACTTGATCAGGGAGTACTCGTACCTCCTGTAGAAAAATACCAAATCCCAGAATTCTAAGACAAATCATTTCTTGACTCTAGAAGTAGAGATTGTTGACAAAATACAGGCCAGTACTTCACAGCAATATTACAGTGCCATATTACACAGCAGTTAATAAACAAAGGTTTTCCTTGGTTTTTCCCTATTCCTCTTCACTGTCACTTCAACCCAATTTTTCACTCCACAAATTCACCCTAGAGGAACCTAATTCACTCCCCCATATTTCAAAATTTTCTGTATTTACTCCTCAAATTTAGAACCAACCCATTTATTCAAAAGCTTGGGGTGGAAGGCTCCACCTGAACAGCCTCCAGACATTAGCTATTGGTGAATTCATTCATAAAAGATCCATTTTGAAAGATATATTTTTGTTTTCCCATCTGAACCCACCCCCATTGCCACCCCCAGGTCTAGCCTTCTGGCCCAACAACCAACTGGTCAGGAAGTGTTAGGGCAGCTTATGGGTAAAGGTAGTGCTTGGCTCTTTGGACTCAGGATTCCTGGGCTCAAGGGTTTCTAATCTTTTTACCACTAAGAAATTTTTCTCCAAAGTTGTAGAGGATTTGTGTACAAAATAAAACTGCATTTGTTAATTAATAATTGCTTCATTTTCCTTTAAAAATGGAACTTGGATCATATATAACAGCCCATCCAAGCTTCTACCCAGCTTGAGTCTACCACCATTGCGTCACTGTATCTGAGAATCCTGGTTGAAAGCAATGAAGTGACTGTTAGGGACCCTGGGAAGCCTGAGGACTGATAAACTGTGATTAGCACCGGGACTTTGGCAATAATAATGAAAATAGTTCAGAAACTCCTATCACTATTGAGGACCAAGGGTCTGGATCCCCAGTTGCAAACCACTGCTGCACTTGATAAAGAGACTCTAGTGGTTCTCAACCTGTGGGTCACGACCCACAGGAACTATATTAAAGGGCCAAGGCATTAGGAAGGTTGAGAACCACTGCTCTAGGATAATGTCATTTTAAAAGAGTAGGCCAATAAAACAGAAGGGTGTTATATGCTACCTTATACACTTGAGACATCAGGTGTTAAAAAGTAAATTGGAATTCTGCAAGTATCTAAAATTGTATATGATAAAAACCTGAAACCTGTTTCTATAGGTTTTTATCTATAAAAATCTGATTTTTGATTAAGGAGCTGGTTTGACTTCAACATCACAAGGTAAACCCCATCTCCTCCATGCAGCTCTCCTTCTTTTCAGCAATCCCCCCAAGCTTCTATCTATCCACTATGGCATTTAGCACACCATGGACTGTTGAAGCTAGAAATGCTATATATTTTTTGAGTTGGAGCCTCACTCTGTCACCCTAGATGGAATGCTATGGCATCACCATAGCTCACAGCAACTTCAAACTCTTGGGCTTAAGTGATCCTCTTGCCTCAGCCTCCAGAATAGCTGAGACTATAGGTGTGCACCACCATGCCAGGCTAGTTTTTTCTGTTTTTATTAGAGACAGGGTCTTTCTCTTGCTCAGACTTGTCTCCAACTCCTTCCTGTGCTCAAGCAATATACCCACCTTGGCTTCCCAGAATGCTAGGATAACAGACATGAGGCACCATATCTGGCCAGAGATGCTGTCTTTTTCACTCTTGTAAACTCGTCCACTAGACAGGAGATGGCCCAGAGTGGCTCAAAGAATGCCCATTAAACAGACAAATGGGTGAATAAATGGAAACTGGCAGGAGGAGCACTTCTCAGTTTTAAGTCACATGTGCAAGTACTGTCTTTGAGTGGCGGAGGGTACAGCATCTATTGAGTATTATTATGAGGTTAACTTTATTTCAATTAATTCTTACAATATCTCTCTCTGAATTATACATTATTATTCCTGTTTTTACAGATGAGGAAATGGGTTCTGAGAGGTAACTTTCTTAGAGTCCCAGGTAATGAATAGGTCTGTTCACAGTCAACTTCAGCTGACACAAAATCCCATGTTGTTAACTATCTCCCAAAAACAAAATGGCAGAGCTTCATGCAGACATGGAGAGCCAAGTCTGTCACTGGCTGGCCCTGCCTGGCTCTGCCTGCCCCACATTCTGGAGTCTGGGGAACTCTCATTTCTTCTCTGTGTGTATCTGTGCAGAACGGCTTTCTCTGACCTGCTTACACACATCACAACCACGGCTTCCTCAGCCTGGTATTTCTACAAAACTACAATAATTAAAACAGTGTGGAACTGGCATAAGGATAGAAATACAGGCCAATGGAATAGAATGAGAGTCCAGAAGTAAACCTTCATATATAGAGCCAGTTGATTTTTGACAAGGGTTGCTAAGTCTAGTCAATGGGAAAAGAAGAGTCACTTTAAGATACAGTTCTGGGACAACTGGATTGCCACATGCAAAAAAAAGAAGGTGGACTCCTACCATATGCAAAAATTAATTCAAACAGACTAATGACCTTTTGTGCATCAAGGACATTAGCAAGAAAGTAAAAATGCACAATGGGGAAAAAAGTCGATCCTAACTATTCACAGTAATTATGTTCTATAAAGTCACTACAAACATTGAATTAGCAAACAAAATGCTACACAAATGTTCCAGGGTTAGGGTCCTAGGAGCCCTTGGTCACAAAATTTTCATCAACCATTCAATATGTAACTGTGTTCTTTGTGTGTTTCTGTTTAAAGATACCTTATTTAATACATAATAATGATTAACATTCAACTTAAGGCCAACGGCACTGTAACTCATGCCTGAATTAAGCTTATGTAACATGTATTTTCTCCCTAGGGAAAGTGACAACCCTCCAGCATTTAGGAACACTAGATAGCACTTCAGTACTACCATTCTAAACAGCAAAATTACCAGCAAAAAGCCAAGAAATGGCATTAAACAGACTACAAAAAGCATGCTTCTCTACAGTATGAGAACTGAAAGAAGGCAGAGCACAGACTGTGTGCAGTAGCTTACATCCTTATCCTAGTACCCTGGGAGGCAGAGGCAGGAGGAACGCTTGAGGTCAGAAGTTTGAGATCAGCCCGGGTAACACAGCAAGACCCTACTGCTACAAAAAATTTTAAAAGTTAGCTGGGTGTTGTGGTGTGTGCCTGCAAGCTAAGGCAGGAGGAACACTTGAGCCCAGGAGTTCGAGGCAGCAATGAGCTATGATCATGCCAACTGCACTTCAGCTTAACAGACCAAGACCTTGTCTCAAAAACAAATTAAAAAAAAAAAAAGAAGAAGGGAGAGCATTGCTTTGGTTGGCCTCAACAGAGACTATGCATATTTAGCAACTTAAATTTTTTGCCATTCTGCACAGGTGCAGGAATGATCAAGAAAATGCCCTGAGTACTAGTTTGGAGGTTACAAATAAATTTTAGTGAGTAGGCAGATTTGCATACACAAAATCCATGAATGATGAGGATCAACTGGATTTGCAAATCATATATAGATGCCCACCAACTAATGCTTTTTTCAACTTTATAATGGATTCATTGGGATGTGACCCCCATGGTAAGTCAAGGAACATCTGGATTTACAATAAATTGACTTATGATTGTTCAACTTTATAATGAATTTATTAGGGTATTAAATGTCATTGTAATACTCAATATGTACCAATAAAAAAGACGAATACAAGTCACACTGAGCACCTTTTGTAATTGCAGAAGTCAAATGTGACTTGCATGCTACAAATTTAAGAGTTTTTGTCCTTCTTAAAATGTGTACACAATTTTGCACCCTCTGTATTTATATACAATGGAATATAATTCAGCCACAAAAAGAAACAAAGTTTTGATACATACTATCGCACAGATGAATCTTATAAATATTATGCTAAGTGAAATAAGCCTGATACGCAAGAACACATGCTGTATAATTCCACTTATTGAAATATCAAGAATATGTAAATTCATAGAGACAGAAAATTAAGAGCTGCAGTCCCCAACTCCCAGGCTGCAGACTATTACCAGTCCATGGCCTGTTAGGAAGTGGGCTATACAGCAAGAGTTGAGAGCTGGGCCAGTGAGCAAAGCTTCATCTGTGTTACAGCCTGCTCCATCACTCACATCCCTGTCTGAGCTCTGCTTCTTGTCAAAGCAGCTGTGCATCGGATTCTCAAAGTTGCTGAACTCTACCGTCAACAGAGGGATCTGGGTTGTGCGTTCGTTATGAAAACCTAATGCCTGGTCTGAGGTGGAGCTGAGGCCGTGATGCTAGCGCTGGGGAGAGGTTTGACTGCACAGAGGCCATAATAAATCGTTCGCATATCAAAGCCACTGCCACCCCCTTCTGGGGAAAGACTGTCTTCCCAGAAGAGGTCCCTGGTGCCAAAAAGGTTGGGGACCACGGGGTAAGAGGTTACCAATGGGGAGTTATTGCTTAATAGTTGCAGGTTTCTGTTTGGGGTTTCTTAAAAAGTTTT